CCCTGGAAACCCTAAGATATAAAGACAGGAGGACCTGAAAGGAGCCAGCAGAGGAAGTCCACCGCCCTTCTCAGCACGGGGGAGACTTCAGGTACATGAAGATGTTCCAGAGGACAGTCCGGCTGTCACTGCACTGGGAGAGACCTTTTCAAGTGTTCTGATGTGACTATCACAGGGAAAGAAAAACTGGGTTGAATTCACACTTTCCATACGAAGCCAGCTCCTCAGCAGGACCGGACCGGGCTTCCTACAAGTACTTTTAACTTTTCATTTCTCGAATAATGGCTATTGGGCCAGTCAATCAAAAAGAGCCATTCTAGTGCATTTCGTATTATTATAACCCTGCTTGCCTGCATTACGGCAATGAAATCCTAAGAAAATCAACTTTGTCTTATGGTTTCAATCTGAGTTCAGTTGGCCCGTAGTTTCTGGGCCTGAGGTGAGGCGGGTCATGATGGAAGCAGGTGATAGAACAAATTTTCTCACCTCAGTGTAGCTGAGAAACAGAGAGAACAGGGGCTGGAATCCCAATGTCCCCACACAGCTCACCTTCCCAGGGACCTAAAGTCCTCCCCCAGGCCTCACCTCTTAAAGGTCCCAGTACCTCCCAATTGTACCGTGGGCTGGGGACCAGTCTGCAGCACATGGGCCTTTGGGGAGCACTTATCCAAACATAAGGGGCCTCTTCACAGTGGTGATGATTTTAGTCATTTTAAGACTCACAGCTTACTAGAAACAAATTCATAACTTATAACACTTTTTCTCGGTGTTCCCAATAATGGCCCTCGTAATCATATATTTCCTATCAGCTCCATTTTGTATTCCCAGGATAGAAAAGTTGGAATTTAAGCCCAACAATGAGAATGTCAGCAGCGGGAAGATGGGGCCATCTTCCTGAGTAACTTCAGGCAATACTGAAGTAAATCGAGCTCACACTGTATCCGAATACTCAAGCCCTAAATTTGTCACAAAATGTCTGAGACTGGTGGTCTTCATAGCCAGAATTGGGAGCTCCCAGCATGGAATTCTATTAAGGTGCCTGATATTTTTCATTATTATTATTGATTCTTGGGGTTTTTTGTTTGTTTGTTCATTTATGGAAAAAATAAAACAAAATCCCAAAAGAAAATACTAGGATAATAACAGTAGTTAATACGTTGCATAGTGTTATCTTCAAAGTAGTGATTCAGAGTATGAGATATGGGCATAAAAAATTCTCCAAACAATATTAGTGCAAACCTTTCTTTTCAATGAACTAACAGAAATGAATAGTATAACTATATTGTTTTTTGTTGTTTTCCCTTCCTTCGCTTCCCCCTCCCCCACCCTAGTTCCTCTTTCCTTTTGAATAGCTTCTTCCCATTTCACAATATCTATTGTACAATTTGTACCTTACTTACTCTTCCAGTTTCTCACTTGGGATACAATATGAGGTTTACACTTGTGAGTCTGATTTATTTTACTTATGCGTGTGGTCTCAAGTCACATCCATTTACCTATCTGGTTTCTCTTTCTTTATGACTGAGTAGTACTCCATTACATAAAAAAAGAACTCACCTTCTTTCTACCTATTTTCTCTTCCAGTAGAGTTAGTGTTTCTGTTTTATATTAAGATTTTTCATCCATTTGGAATTTAGTTTAGTGCATAGTGATAGACATGGGTCTAGTTTTAGTCTTCGACATGTGGAGAGCCAGTTTTTCTAGCACTATTTGATAAAGAAGCTATCTTCCTGGCAGTGAACGTTTTTGGCCTAATGGGCCCTCCAAAGATGAAAAGCGATGTATCAAATTAAAACCTTGAAGGAACAGAAATAGGCAAGAGTAGCTTTGGTACAGACAGCAATCTCTACTTAAATAGTTAATCTTACAAAAAGTGCAAGCCACAAAGACAGCATAAATTTCCTCTGTTCCTTTGATATTTACACAAATATTTTTAAAGGTAAAATAAAACTTCTAATGGGATTAAACCCAGGAGTGTTTTTAAGGGCCTGGAGCATTCTCTTTCAAGTACAAGCATCAGGAAAACCAGTACTCTATCACTTTCTCACAAAAGGGCATTGCGGTGGGTGCTACCCACTTGTTCAAGAGATTTTAAAAAATGCTTTCATTTTTCTCCCAAAAAGCAATGAATTAGATGAATGATGAAGCAGTGATTAGACTGGGTCAGAGCAAACTATGAAAGCACACATCCAGTGATGCTGTAGAATCTTCTCTCCTGAGGACAGGTCCCTCACATATGAGAATTCACACGTCATGGGCCTCCCCTGCGCATCCATGTAAAAAGGTGAGTGCGGGACATGGTGGCCCCTGCCTGTGTTCCCAGTGCTCAGGAGACTGAGACAGGAGAACTGCCATGAGTTCAAGGCCAGCCTGGGCTACATAAGTGAGCTCAAGGCCAGTCTGGACTATATAGAGAGACATTGCCTCAAAAAACAAAAATCACTTATGTGGTGGGATTTCTTTTGCCTTTGTAATCACATTAGCAAATTATATGTGACACATTCCCATCTTGATGAATATGTATTCATTAGCAGAAGTGTTTTCTTTCTTTTCCACACTGATGGAGAGAATATTCTGGGTGGGCAGGAGGTTTTATTTTTAAAAAAATCATTTTCCTTGACAGCACAAAATCTGCCTTCCAAGTGATTGTAAGCAACAGTTTAGCAAATGTTTTTGCATGATATAGCACGGGCCCTCCCATGTGTCTCCTTGCTGCTCACCGCCCCACAGCAATATTTTAGGTGCTTGTTATGGAATCATTCCATCTCACAGGTACACTTCTGTGTGTGTAGGGTAGAGGAGGCAATGGCGTGTAAGAAAGCAGCCTAGGTGTTCTCCACTCAGTGCAGTGAGTTGGTTTCTGGCTCCCGGCAGGCACAGTGTCGTGCAGTTCGGTGGCCTCGAGGTCACAGTGCTTCAGGATGCAGCTTCCTTTGGTCTGGTGGTTCTGACATCCTTACTGTGACAGAGGCCCCAACAGAGGAATCAAAGGCAAGGTAAGTCAACAGATCTCTAACCAGACAGCTGACGTACAAGAATCTCAGAGTTGGTGCCTCTTAGCGCGTCAATGGAGAAAACCAGCCAGACTTTAGCATGCTCTAGAGACTTTGACCACAGAGTTACCTGGACTCTGGTGAATTACAGAACTGATGTTGAATGCTCAGTGTTGTTTTTTGAACATGATCATAAATGTGTCCCCAAGAACCCACCCAGTGGAAGCTAGATCCCCTGTGTAGCCATATTAACAGAACCTTTAAGAAGAGGGCCCTCGTGGCAGGTCACTGGGGACATGGCTCTTAGAAGGCATTAGTGTAGTTTCCACAACTTCCTGGCTTGCCATGAGAGCTTTTCCTCTTGTACACCTTACCATCACGTCATGTCAACTACTGCAAGATCCTCACCAGAGCTGAGCTAACACTGGCACCATGCCCTTGAACCTCCAAAACTGTAAGCTAAATAAGCCTCTTTTCTTTATAAAGGCCACAGCCTCAGGTATTTCATTGTAGAAATAAAAATAAAATTCTAGAGGCTGGGGATTTAGCTCAGCGGCATAAGAACCTGCCTTGCAAGCAGGCGGTTGTGAGTTCGATCCCTGGTACCGATAAAAATGAAAAAGACCAAAAAAAAAAAAATCTACACTTTGGAAGCTGTATAATGGGGGCTAGGATCAAAGTGAAGGCTCTATTGAGCAAGAGATTTGGCATCTGAAGTCTTGGGTTCAGGTTCTGGTCATTCTAGTTGTTTCAGTGGAAACAAGGGACATGTCATTTCTCTGGGCCTCTGTGTCTTCCCGTTAAAAATGTGTCCTCTACATACTGCATGAGGTGGCTCTAAGCCTTAAGGGAGATGCGCTTGGGGAAATACTTTGACATCTGTGAGGCACAAGGCGAATACCACTGAGTATTACTCGTGTCTCTGCAGAAGCTTCCACAGCCAGGCCAACCTCTCCCCATCTGTTGAGTGAGCCTCCGTTCCAGTGCTTCCGGAGGTGGGGGGAGTTCTAGCCACCACCACCCTCCGAGTCCTCAGAGGCCCTTGAGTCCCGAGCCTGCCAGCCCAACCTCTGAGAGCCTTTGTAACTCATGTGTCCACCAGATGACGATGGAAGAACTCGCAGTGAACATTTCTCCACAAACACCACACAAAGTCTAGACCCTGTCCCCACCCCTGGCCCAGCTTCCAAAAGAGAGTCACCCTCATCTGTCTTTACCCCACCCACCCCCAACTAGGGATTTGGGATTTCTCTACATTATGTATTTTATTCCCAATGTGTTACCTACAACTTTGAATGTGAAGGAGTCTGTCTCAGACCCCGTCCTCTGCCTCTGCCAACCCAATAGTCTCCCCGAGCTGGACCTTGTCAATAAGAAGAAAAGGAAAGGCTCACTTTCAGCAGGGCTGACCTTCACAAGGATGTCCGTGTCTCTGAATAGTGCCAGTCTGAACTTTGGGGCTCCCTACGTCTTTGTGGCCAGCTGGGAAGCTTACTCGAGACTTCCCGTCTCAGAGTTTGCATCTTTAAAGTGCAGCATTTGGATGCGACTACCGTGGTAACTTTCAAATGGGGAGCTGGGGCTGGAAGAAGAAGAATCAGGCAGGTGAACTCCAGCTGGCTGAGTCCTGCCTAATGGATTTTGGTTCCTTTTTCTCAGGGGTCTTACCAACGCCCCCTGCTGATGCTTCTGTGCTGTCCTCAACAGGAACACATGCCACTTGGTATCTGTTTGCCCTGAGGCAGTGTATCAGAGGGGAGACAGGAGGAGCAGAACCTTGCCAAGTCCTAGTGAGAAGCCTACGGAGAGAACCATGCACCTAGCCTTTGGCCCGAGCCCTTCTGCCACAGCCAACCAGGAGCTTCAGACACTCTAAATTTCAGTGTCCCTCTTTCTGTCACACATCCAGTAATGGACCTGCTTGATCCATACTCCCACACACACCCCGAAGTCCTGGGGGGGGGGGGGGCAGAATTCTTCTTTTAGTAACGTACTGGGAAACTGACATTCATGTACACACATTTTATTTTTTCGTAAAATATAAGGTCTGTGACCAGCATACTTTACACTTTAGTAACCCAGAAGTCTTCCTAGTAGGACTTTCTGTCCTCCAGAGAGAGGCTCCCCATAAATTCCCCATGGACTTGGTATTCGGGGAACAGCATCGAAGAGGTCTTCTAACACAAAACAGAGTGGTCTCTCACAAGCTCAGGGAGAAATGACATGTTGAAGGATAGAATCTGTTCCCTTTGGTTTCCTTTATGAGGCTTTCATAGAATCTGGAATAGGCTAATTTAGCTCAGAACACAATCAAAGTGTGATTCTTTGGCATTTGATCTGTTGTGGCAAGGGTGTTCCACAAAGAACACGGGCACTCCTCTGTCTGAACAGACTTGACGAAAGGCATGAGACCAAGCCGAGCACAGGCTCACTCAAGATGCACGCACGCACGCACACAGCTGCCAGGGCAGGCAGCCATCTTAGTCTGCAGGAGCAGCTTTGCAATGCATCCTGGGAGCAAGTGTCTCTACTATGGGGTTTTGCCTACCCTCTGTCATAACTTGCCTCGTTGGTTTGGCCCAGTATCGCTTCCTCCTCTCCTCCCCAGCCCTGTCAATGCTCTTTACTCCTGAGCACCTAACTCAGCCATCCTGGCAATTCTTCATCTGTCAAATGATAGGGCTGTTGACCCCTATCAGGGGCAGACTTGTAGGATGGCACCTCTTCAACCTTGCTCCAATCCAAGGTCATACAGGGAAACAAACAAGAGAGGGGAGGGTGGAGCCTCATTCACAGCAGAAAACCCTGGGGTCAAGTTTACCTAGGACCAGGACAGCAGCAGATCAACAATCTACAACCAGAAACAGACCCTGCACTCTACTCACCCACTGCTGGTCCCGGAAAACCTGCCTGGGTTCCTGGATGCACCTTAAGTCCCCAGCTTGGCCAGTGTCCAGGGTATTCAACATGTGGGCCCCTCAGGATCCCTGGCATTGCCCCGCCCTTACCCTCTACTTTCTCCCCAACCTCACATCTCTCTCACTCTTTAACATTTCTTGGGCTGTCACTCTTCCTGGAGAAGGGGCTCTCGGTCTCCTCCCTGCACCCTCTCATCCTCTTCCTTCTCCATGCAGCCCACAGTGGCAGCCAGCCCCGCACCCACGCCACCCCCCACCACAGCGGCCCCCGTGGCCCCCACTGCTGCCCCTGCTGCCACCATTCCAGCCTCTGCTGCCAGTGCAGCCGCAGCCATGCCTGCACCTACAACGCCCCCTGCCAGGCCCATGAGCCCAGCTCCCACAGCACCCCCAACTGCAGCGAGGTGGCCACAGAAGCGCATAGTGTAGGAGTCCATGAAGGCCTTGGCCTTGGCCTGCAACTCAGCCTCCAGGGCCTCCAAGGTCTGCTCACGCTCCTTGCACAGCAAGGCCACTCCATGACGGGCCAGGATAGCATCCTTCTGGGAGGAGAGTAGGTTCCGCATGGTATCTGGCAGGACCCGGAGTGCAGAGAAGATGCGCTTGGTGGCTACATCCTGTGGTGACAGGAGGAGAGAACAAGGTGCTCCAACTGGGAGCCAAGCATCTCCACACCAGCCCCTGGCCAGCCTCTGCTTCCCCTGAGGGCTGGGACTCACCTGCTGCCTCACGTACTCCTCAAACTCCTTCTTGGCGGCCTCCACTTTCCTCAGGTCATGAAGCTGAGCAGCCATCTGTCCACGGGAAAGCCTGGCTGCCCTCCTCCTTTCTCCTTGGCCTGGCCACCTGTTCTTCATCTCTACTCCCAGGCATGAACTCCCACCCCCAGGGCTCAGCCCAGACCCTACATGCCCTCCTCCCTCCCAGACACCCATCCTTGGGGAGCAGCGGGGCTCGATACCTCGTCCGGAGAGCTGAAACCGGGCCCTGTCCTCCCCATCCAGCCCGAGAGGTTCTGCAGAGACACCACTGCGGGTCAGGGAGAGCAGGGACCTGCTGGGCGCCGGGGCTCCAGGGAGTTTTCACACCTTGATCTCCTGAGCTAGCTGCTGTCCGGTTAGCAGGCGTCTGTCTCCCCTGGCCACGGTGCGCCCCTCACTCCAGTAGCCCTGGCAGCGGCTCTTAGCATGCTGGGGGGCTGCACTCAGCACATCCAAGACATAGGGCCAAAGGAGGTGGCGGGAATCATCATCTGTGTCTAAGAAGAGGTTCTTCATACTGAGGAGACCAAGGCTTTGCAAGGAGAGTGGCTTGGGGACTGAGATACTGCCGGGGGTTCAGCAGCTGGGGAGTAATGCACAGGAGGAATTTGCCTCAGGGACACTCACCGCCTCCTGGGCTTCCTTGGCCTTTGCTCATCCACTGCCTGCCTGGAGAAGGCAGGAGGTAGCAGCGGGCTCGGTTCCCTAGGAGCAGCTCCTGGACCTTGGGATATTTGCCTGACAACTTCTGAGGGAAAAATGGGAGTGGGCGCTCAGGCACTCATGGTTAGGCCTCCCACTGTGAGCACCCTCCCGGGACCTCCCAGCCTCTCTGCCCTGGCCATGCCTTCCACATCTCCTTCTGCACTGCTCACCTGGAGGATGTCACCTGTGTGATCTTGCCCTGCCTTGCTGGGGTGGTCGCGAACTAAGAGGTCCAGATGCTAAAAGAGAAGGGGTCCTGATACTAGCAGCTGGGAGGATTTGGGCTAAACTGAGGAGTTCAGAAACAAGTGTCTCACCTGGATTGGCACCATCCCATAATGCCTGCCCATCACCTCAGCCACATGGACAAACATCTGGGGTGGACACAAGAATGTAAAGGTGGGGCCCTCCGGAGGCTACACTTCATCTTAAGCTCTCTCTCTCTCTGCCTCCCCATGCCTCTCTGTAAAGTCAAGCTTCCCCCTCCCCAGCTCCAAGCTTCTCCTATCTCTCCCCACACCAGGCTTCTTGTCCTGTGTCCTACACCCTCAAGCCCACCAACCCAGTTCAAAGACTATGAAATCCTGGGATGGCCTGGAAAGACACTAGTGTCCTCTGGCCCAGACCTGGCCCTAGGTCACGGATGGATTGTGCCCAAATCCCCTCACCTCCAGATAGTCCAGATCTGTGTCCTTCAGTTCCTGGGAGGTGTTTAGGATCTGAACCAAGGAGAACAGGACGCAGGAGGTATGCACAGAGGCCAATGCTGCTGGAAAGTCCCTGTGAGAGGGGCTCCTAGGCAGCTGCAGGCCTCAGAACACAGGCTAGGCCTGCACAAGGCCTCTACCTACAGGCAGGTAATCTGTCCATCCCAGCCTGAAATGCTCTTGGAATTCTGTGAGCCTGCAGTTTCCTCTGCCCCCAGAACCAAGGCCACCCATGCTCCTACCTTCTCAGATTATAAGCATTTTCCCCTTCCAGGGACACCCCTGGAACCGCAGACACCAAAGCCTCTGATATGCCCTCAGCCTTAGGAAAGCAGAGCTGGGGAAGGGCCCCAGATGGAGACTCTGACCCTCAGGCCACTCTCACCTGGTAGGAGCTCAGCATCGTGGTGAGAGCGCAGAGCTTGATCCTGGTTTCCCTGCTCAGTTCAGGACTCATGGCGTCTCCTGCATCCACCAGGAACACAGCCACCTGCTCGGGCCATGTGGAGGACGGGCCAAGGGGTCAGGGCTGTTCCCCTGACCACACTTCTTGGGCTGTCCCAAAGCCCTAGAGGGTTCCTTCTTGACTCTCCTCTCCTCTTTGTCTTCTCTGTCTCCCAAAAAGTCTCCCCTTTGCATCTTCCTTTCCTTGATCTAACCCTGAGTTCCTTCTTCCCTTCCTCGTCTTACCTTCTTTCCCTCTTTCCCCAACAAGAAGGGGTGGCTCCACATCCATATGCCCCTGCTGAGGCCATTAGTACCCCATCTGAACCCCTGCAGGGACACCTCTCCTCCTCTGGACCAGCTGCCCTCACCACCAGGCTCCTGCAGGCAGAGAAGGGGGCATCAGCTGGTCCATTCTGGATCCCAAGACTGGATTTCAAATTCAGGTCCTCACCCACAGCCAGCCCAGGGCTCCTGCCTTACCCCCCTCCAGCCTCCTGCCAGCCCTGCCCTCACCAGACCCGGCAAGCCCCGGAGCAAGTGGTCGAGGAGGGAGGACTTCCCTGAGTGCTGGTCCCCCAGGACGGCGAGGAGGCAGACTGGGGTGTCCCTGGCCAGGGGGTGCTTCAGGCAGCGGTTGATGGCCCCCATCCGTAGGATGAGGCCCCCTGAGGCGTTGATGCGCACCAGCAGCAGTGGTTCTGCCCTCACCACGCAGCTCTCCTGGACAGGGGACAGGGTCCACTGAGAATCCAGAACAGACCACATCTGGGATGTGTCCAGCCTGGGACTCCAGGCCCTGTCCTGACATTCTCACCTGGCCCAAAGCCACCCCACTTTGTGGATCTAACTCAGGGACCTTGGTGCATCCCACCCCACGCCGAGGCCTGGTCCCCGCACCTGCAGCACAGGGGGCAGCGGCCGCTGTGGCAGCAGCTTCATCTTCTCCCCCAGGCTGCGGAGGCCCTTCTTCTGCTTGCAGGTCTTCCGGCACTCGGGGCAGCAGGGTGGCTCACAGCCGGGGACTCGGTGCGTGTTGAAGCACCGAATGCAGAAGTCGTGGCCACAGGCCAGCGAGATGGGCTCACGCAGCCTCTCCAGGCAGATGGAGCAGGCAGGCAGCTCCCGGGGTGCAGTAGCTCGGGGCCCCAGACCCAGCTCCAACTTGGGGAATGGTGCATGGGACCTGGGTGAAAGACAGGCCGTTTGAAAGCAGGATGTTCATCAGGGTCAGGCTTTCAGGGTCAGGCTAATGGCCTGCCAGGCCCTCTGTGCTTTCTGTTTCCCTTAGGGTCTCCATGGACTGATGGTTTTGCTCCCAGAGGAGCTGAGCTTTGCCCATTCCTTACTCACTCAAAGCCCGGACCCTGGCAGCTCCAGAGTCAGGAAGGCAGAGCAACGGTGACAGGGTACCCAAGAGTGAGACAGCTGACTGTCTGCCACATCCACAGTGTCAAGGTTCTTTCCCACTCTGGGCCACAATTTCCTAATTGTGTGATGGAGAGCTTAGTGGCACCCAGCATGTGGGCACAGAGACAGTCATCTAACATGACATGTGTCTGGTGCCCGTGCTTAAGAAAACCCTCTCCTCATCCCTCTTTAGCAGGGCCCCTCAAGGAGGAGCTGACTTGGGCCAGATCCCCCAAGGAGTGATAAACTCTGAGCCTCAGCTGCTGGGACATCAAGAGAGGGTAGAAGCCTCCTGGCGCCCAGGCAGCCTGCCTTGCAGTTGAGCAGATGTCTCTGGCTCCTAGAGAATTTCTTCCACTCTCAGCTGAGCATCTGCCTCCCTGCAGCACCCACCTTCCTGTCCCTGTCCACCCCTCCACAGCCTGGCCGATCCAGCCTGCTGCTCCCTCCCTGTGGAGCTCCCTGCAGAGCCCCAGCAGGCTGGGCCTGGCCGCAGGACTCCGTGCTCCTGGCACAGCCATTTCCAGGTGACCTGCCAGGCCCACTGCACCAATCCCAGCCCAGCAGGCCCCCGCCGCTCACCAACTGTTGCTGCTGTTTCCCATGAAGCTCCGTTTTCTCTCCTGGAAAGAGAGTGAGGGAGGAAAAAAGATATTTAAAACAGAATTCAGACTCCTATTTTCATCCTGGGTTTCCAGGGGCCCCTCCTCCCCTTCCCCAGGCCCATCCCCCAGCCCAGGTGGCTCCTTCCCACCCCCAGCCTCCTCCCCAGATCTGAGGACTGAAGACTTGCCCGTTTGCCAAGCCGATGACAAAAGGAAGTGACTGACAAGGTGGGCCTCGGCATGGGAGGCTGAGATGAGAGGGGTCTGCCACTAAGTGAGGCGGCCCCTGAGACTCAGCCGGAGGTAAGGTTAGCCTTTCCCGAAGGCTGGCTGAGCTGTGGTAGGTGGAGGGAGGGGCAGGGGACAGCCTCCCAGGGGAGCTGAGTCTGTCAGAGCGGAGAATGGATGTGCCGATGGGTCGGTTGGTCTGGAAAGAGGAGGCTGCCGCTGGACTCACCCCAGGGGGAGGAGACAGGGCTGCGGGTACAGGGCTTCTGAGAAGGGAGGGAGGGAGGGAGGCTGGCTCCAAATCTCTGGCAGCGACTGGGATGCAGGCAAGCCGGGGTGGTGAGTCGCCATGGAGACTGAAGGGAAAGATAAGGACGGGGAGGGGGAGGGGGGCGGAGAGAGAGAAGCCATGTGGGTGCACAGCAAAGAGCGAAGAGGCTCTGGGAGGGATCTGGGCCAGCACTTCCCCTTCTGGACCAGCCAGGGTCCTTCAGGGCCACAGCGCAAGGTGAGCAATGAGAAAAGATGTGGGAATGGGAGAGAAGGCCACAGCAGTGGGCCAAAGCCCAAGAGGTTATTGTGTCTGTTTGTTCCTATAATCTGCTTTCCCTGAGCTCTACCGTGTGAGACCCACAGGGTCCCCTTAGGCTGCATGTGAGCGTGTCCATCCTTCTGCCTCCTCCCAGGGCTGCATCACTGACCAGTCTCAGCTGCAGCCTTCCTCCGCACCCTTGGGCCCTGCGTGTCACTTAGTCTTTTCCTCCTCCTACACAGCAGCTTTTGAACCCTGCAACTGCCTCTTGACTGGGTCCCTCACTGGCTCCCATCCACTCTCCACTGCACAGCCAGCTTGGATGTTCCCGGCACAGGTGACCCCAACACTGGTCAAACAGTGTTCCAGGGCCCCCCTGTTATTATCAGATCTTAATCCAAACTCCCGGCCTGCGTTCCCAGGATGGAACCTTGGTCTCCAGGCTTTCCTCTCTCCACACCCTTCCTACCTCTGCCTGTTCCTCTAACCCTCCTGACTCACCCTCCCCTACCTCCTTCAGGCACCAAGGCCTCCTGCAGCCTCCCTGCCTCCACACTAATGGGATGCACCTGTAGGTGACCAAGGTTTTGGAAAGTTAACTCCTGACAGGTTTGATGCAACTGAGGCTTCGGACCAGGTTGATCTGGGCTCAATTCTCCGCTGAGCGCTCTGAGTTCTTCACTTCTCTGAGCTCTGAGAGGACACAATAAAGTCCTAGGAGGGATGATACAGAGGAGGTGGGGACTCAGACCGGGAGAAATTCAGTCCAGATCACCACCAGCAGGCAGGGATGCCTCAGAGGCTCACAGGGACAGGACTGCCACCCTGAGTCAGGCCTGGTCCTGCAAGGTGGAGAGTCCTCTGGGAATGGAGAGGTGACCTGAGTGACAGTAGAACTTACGGGGAGGGTCCTGGGAAGTGGTAGGTCCTGGATCTCGGGTAGCCTGAGCTGTGAAAGAAAAGTAAATTTGGGACCCTAGAGCCTGGCTCTATGATCACTGCACCCTTGCAACCTTTCACCCTCCACATGCGTGGTGCCAGGGCACAGCCATGGGCACCCCAGTCCCTTCCTCAAGAATCTGCATTGGATCAGAGAACTAAGGACCCATGAGCCAAGTGTGTCACTAGCTTGCCTCAGGTAGGGCCTCTGTTAGCCATTTGGTTGGCTATTGTTCCTTCCCAGCACAGTGATGGCCATCTGTGGTGTTTGGATTTGGGTGAATCCAAGGAGGCCAACGGGAAGCCTCTCTGTACCCTTGCGAGTCCACAGCTCAGTAACTGGCAGGACTGGCCTCCTCCCAGACAAGGTGGCCTGATCATGCGTCTTCCTGTCCTTGCATCCTGGCCCACACGATGGGCTGAAATCCACACAGCCCACCCTGCCACTTGTACCCAGCCCTTGGTCACTGGGTCTGAAGCAGCTCCCAGCACCTGCTCATCCTCTGCCCCATTCCCCTGTGATACACTCCTGATGCTTCTGCCCCTCAGATGGCTCAGATGGCTCCCCTCCTGACCTCTATCTGGGTCTAGCTTCTAAATTAGGGGGAGAGGGAGAAGAGTGACTTGGAATAATGAGTCTCAAGAACCAAAAATACAGTCTCCCTGGCTGGGACTCTGGGTAGGTTTATGGGAGCCTAATGTGGGCAAGAGACAGCTATGCATGCGCGCCCACACACACACACACATATACACACAGTACACCTACCCCGCACTCTGTGTCTACGTACACTACACTGTGTATACATATGAACACATCTCTCCTCCACCTTGTCTAGTAGACTCATAGCACTCACACATGTGACTCATGTGACACATGTGACTGTTTTTACACACACTTATACTCACATATTTACACAAACACATGTGTATCTTTAGGCCTCACACTCATGCACACTTATACATGAGCTCACTCTTACTGCTGTATACACACAGACATGCTTTTACCCAACAGGTCTACCCCAAGCATTTTTTATGGTAAATTCACTCTCAATAATGCAGCCTGTGAGGTAGGTATAAGTCACTCTCATTTTACAGATAAGGAAACTGAGGCACCAAAAGGTTAAATTTAAAGTCACACTGCTAAGAATTAGGTGGAACTGGAATCCAAACCATCAGTCTTCCCAACTCAAGCACTTAGCCATTGTATTCTGTGGTGTCTTTGGTGGCAACAGTAATGTAAATTATCACGATAAGCCAGGGAGAAAGGGTGTGATCTCTCTGTGTTTCAGTTTACAGTCACTCACATTGGGGTGGAGATCAGCCCTGCCTAGTCTATACAGTGTTAGAAGCAAACACCTGGGTTCTGGAGAATTCTGACCCCAACTTGCTGTGCAATACCAGCCACATCTCTGAACTTTTCTGGGTGTCAGTTTTCTGATACATAAATGGAGGATGGGCTTGACAAGACCAGATGCCCCTTGACTGGGCACTCATCTCCCAGTTCCAGGCCCACAGCCTCCTGAAGGCAGGTCATGGAGGCGCCCACCCAAGAGGCTGGCACCCAGCAAAGAGGCTGGCCCCACATGAGCTGCCTGGTGAGTACAGGGTTCCTCCACTGCTAGTGCTGCCTCCTGATGTTCCTCAGCTCTGCCAGCAAGGTGCAGGCCATGAACCACCAGCCCCTCTCCCTCTGGGCCTTCCATGGGTCTGGTGTGGCTCTCAGGGCCTAGGTGCTCTCCCCAGAAGGTCCAGTCTTGTGTCTTCCCAGCCTTCCTGACAAGCAGCTGACTGTGGCCAAGTGAAGGAAAGAAGTCCAGATCTGGCGACCCTGGAGCTCACCCTGTCATCACCCTGGACCCAGCATCCTCCAGCTGCGCTCTGCTCCCTAATTGTCTCCCCTGCCGCATCCGTAATACCTGTCCCTGAATACAAGCATCTCGCTAGCTGTGCCCCAGGCAAGACTCTCCTCTACTTCTGTCCAGAAATGTGCCCATGTGACAGTCCTAGGCAAGAAAGCCCCTTTACCTGCAAAACGGGACCCTGCAAAACAGATCCCAATTCCCAGTTATTAGGTAGGACAAGCCAGAGGGGAATACTCAAGATATCCCAGATGCCTTCTGAGTGAGTGAGGGGCCACCCACCTACCTATTCATCTCTCTATCTATTCATCTATCCACCCATTCATCAGCCACCTACTCATCCGAGCATTTTTCTCCACTCTTCAATCACCCGTTCATTATCTACCTATCTGTCCATGAACCCACCCAGTCACTCATGCATCCAATTACCCATGGGTGCCCATGTGTGTGTACCGTTCATTTTCTGTATTATTTTATCTACACACTTTCCAACTGCCTATCTATGCATCTGTCCATATGTCCACTCATGTATCATGTCCTCCATCTAGCTGCCTCCAACAAATTCACCCGCTCACCCCCATGTCCATCTATCCACCTAACCACCTACTCATATATGCATCTTCTTATCCATCACTCCTGCACCTATCATGTGTCTTATCCATCTATTTTTACACTCATCCATTCATGCATAAATTCATCCATCCATCGATGTGAGTTACTTGTGGAACATTGCACACCATGCATCACATGAGGACCCGAAATAATCAGATGAACTCTCAGGGTGGCAAAAAAGTCAACAAGTCCTGGGTGATAAGCTCTCTGATGAGGGAGAATTGAGGGAGATATTGGAAGAATCAAGCAAAGGCATTTTCCTCTGACCCGGGCAACTGGGAAGGCTTCCTACACAAGTCACATCTGAAGAGTGAACATGAGGTGGCCAGACAAAGGCACAGAGATGAGCAGACATTTCTGGCAGAGAAACCACTCTATGCAAAGACCACGAGGCACAAGATAAACATCCTGGCTGGAGTGTAGTTTGTGAAGCAAGGAGAGGTGAAGGGAACGGGCATCTCAAGACACACAAACCGAGGAGCATGCGCAGGAGAGAGAGCCAGCCAGAGTTTGCGTCTGCGTCCCTGCGTTCACGCCCACGGCGAGAATCTGCCTGCGGAAGCGGAACTATTGGGGAAGGATTCTAAAGCGGATCTGATCCGGACCGCGTGCGAGGTATACTTACATCTTTCTCATCATCTCCACCCTAGTTCTGGGTTTCCTTAAATGTTCTGTTTCAACTTCCGGGAGAACATGGCGGACAGATAACAGCAACTACCGGAGGCTCTCTGAAAGACTCGGCTCAGAAGCCAGGAATGGTGCGGACTAAGGAGACATAAGTCGGTAGAGATATGCTCTGCTGACTCAGGAACGAACTGGGCTGAGAGAAGCCAACTTGGAATGCAGTCCTGGTGCTAAAACAGGAACAGAAAAGACTCGGTGTGGAGGCTGGAACCGCGCCATTGTAAGCCGTGATTTGGGTTTCCCGCCGCGCGGCGGCTGGCTGCCTCTACAGTGGCTCAGCAAGGGGAGAGACGTGCAGAAGCTCTGAGAACGGCAATCTGCGAACGGCAGGGAGGTGTGCACTGACTTGTGGTGAGGTGAGTGAGAGAAACTGACACTCTACCACAGTTTGACTCCAGCAGAGGACTTTCTGGGCCCGAGCAGTCCTGCGGGAGCAGGGCGCGGTGGCGACTCCAGCCACACATCCCCCTCTCAGGCGGGATTGGTGAAAAGTCCCTGGCCTGCGTGAAGCTGCCGGCGGACCTGGTAGGCTGTCCCAACCCAGATCCCAGAGCCTGACGGTGGCCGGGAGGGGAGACGCGTAGGCTGCCTGGTCCG